CTCCCTCCCTCCCTTATCTCCTCCCTGGCCCTTTCCAAGTCCACTGATTGGGGAGGACCTCCTTCCCTTTCATCTGACCCTGTTTTATCAGGTATCTTCAGGACTTAGAAAAACAAATGGGATGTGCATTGGACATAGGAGAAATCAAGTAACAGGACAGGAGCCTGCTGCAGAGGGCCCCTGAAAGACTCTACCTAGCAGTGTATCAAAGCAGATACTAAGACTCATAACCAAACCTGTGGCAGAGTGCAGGGAATCATATGAAAGAAGGGGGAAATTAGTATGACGTGGAAACGGTAGGAGCTCCACAAGGACCAAGTATATCTGGGCACAGGGGTCTTTTCTGAGACTGACACTCCACCAAGGACCATGTATGGATATAACCTAGAACCTTTGCTGGGATGAAGCCCGTGGCAGCTCAGTAACCAATTGGTTTCCCATAGTTAGGGGAACAGGGACTATTTCTGACAGGAACTCAATGGCAGGCTCTTTGACCTCCCCACCCACCAAGGGAGGAGCAGTCTTGCTAAGCCACAGAGGAGGACTTTGCAGCCAGTCCTGAAAAGTACAGTCTTGATTATAACAATATTACAACAGTTGACAGACCTTGAGAGCATTTTTTTCTCAGACATTCTAATCATTTTGAAACTGACCTGCAGAGTCCCTTGAAGCGAGATTTGCAAGTCTCCAGTTTTTACCAACTTGGCTATATTTTTGGAGAATGGTACAATTACTTAGGGATATATTACTATTTCATTGTCATTCTTTGCCTAGATACATTCTCTTTTTCTCTCCTAAGAGAGTTACTAAAGTAATTTTAGAGCAGACTTAACTTTAGAGAATCCCAATTCTCTATGTAACTGATGATAACTACAATAGCTGTGATAAAACAGCAAAGCAACTTAATGGGAGAAAGTGTTTATTTTTGCTTACAGTTCCATGGGGAATATAGTCACTTGTAGTGAGGAAAGCATGGTAGCAGGAATATGTAACTAGTACCTCACATTGCATCAGCAATTAGGAAGCAGGCAGGTAGAGAACAAGAACTGGGGCCAAACTATAAAACCTCATTCCTCACCCTAAATTACGTCTTCTAGAAAGGCTCCACATTCTTTTCTTTAATTTTATTTTATTTTATTTTATTACAATTTATTCATTATATATCCCGATTGAAGCCCCCACCCTTAATTCCTCGCAGTCCCACCCTCCATCCCTGTTCCTCCCTATCCCTTTCCCCTAGTCCACTGAAAGGGGGAGTTCTCCTCCTTTGCCAGGGCTTATCAAGTCTCATCAGGACTGCCTGGATCTTCTTCCTCTGTGGCCTGGTAAGTCTGCATTGCCAAGGGCAAGTGATCAAAGAGCAGGCGACCTAGTTCATGACAGAGGTAGCCCTGGCTCCCCTTACTAGGGAACCCACATGAAGACTGAGCTGCCAATCAGCTACATCTGAGCAGGTGGTTTAAGTCCTCTCCATGCATGATCTTCCTTTGGTGTATCAGTCTCTGCGAGACTCTCTGGGCTCAGATTTTTTAGTTTTCTTGTTCTCCTTGTGGGGCTTCTGTCCCCTCCCTGTCCTTCTATCACCCCTCCTCCTCCTCCTCCTCCTCCTCCTCCTCCTCCATAAGACTCCCTGTTTGCTGCCCAAAGTTTTGCTGTAAGTCTCAGCATCTGCTTGGATCCCCTTTTGGGTGGAGCATTTCAGGGGACCCTTTATAGTAGACTCCCATCCTGTTTCTTCTCTTCCACTGCTTTTGATGTCTATCCTTTTTTGCCATTCTGAATGACATTTAAGCATCCTCCCTAAGGTCCTCCTTAGTGTTTGGCTTTTTTAGGTCTTTAGATGGCTATCCTATACAATATGGCTAATATACGCTTATAAATGAGTTTATACCATTCTTATCTTTCTGGTTCTGGGTTACCTCATTCAGGATGATCGTTTCTAGTTCCCACCATTTGCCTGCAAATTTCATGATTTGCTTTAGTATTCCATTGTGTAAACATACCACAATTTCCGTATCCATTCCTCTGTTGATGGACATCTAGGTTGTTTCCAGATTCTGGCTATTACAAATAAAGCTGCTATGAACATAATTGAGCAAATGTCCTTGTTGAACGTTGGGACATCTTTTGGGTATATGCCTAGCAGTGGTATAGCTGGATCCTGAGGTAGTGCTATTCCCAATTTTTTGAGAAAGTGCAAGTCTCCACATTCTAATGGTCACCAGCTGGAGACAAGTGTTCATATACAGGAGCTTACCAGGGACTACTTTTCATATTCAATCAATGGCATTCTTTTCAGTAAAGAAGACTTAGTTTGCAAAGCCAGTGATTTCCACAGGTTAATCAGAATTGGTTGCTTTTCACAGAATACCAGTGTTCAGTGTTCACTCTTCTGCTTTAGATTCTTCAATGTAACTATTTGTTGGCATCTGTGTTCCAAGCATGATGAAAAAGCTATTGCTTAACAAGTACCAAAAAGAATATTATTCCCATTCTTGTGGTTCTGTTAGTTGAAACCTCAGTCATCCTAGTTTGGGCTGACTTGTTTGTAGAATATCTTTCTGACCTAGTGAAATTGTTGCTTCACATAACACATTTACTTTAAAATCACCATAGGAACTCTCCATTAAACCCAGAAAGGTTTTTTTTTTTTTTCTTAATCAAATTTGATGTCTGGGCTTTCTCACAATAATACAAAAGTAAATAAACATGTCCTTAAATTTTGATCTCATATAAACAGGTTTTTCAAGAAACAATGTATATACCATACAATTAGAGTAAGCCTATTTTAATTACTAAATTACAAGGATTTAAAAATCTCAGAGATTTCTATCAAAAAGAATGTGCTCTTATAAAGAAAGGATTTAGATGTCTAAACTACCCCTCCACCTGACTAGTGATTTTTTCCCCAATAAGGAGGCTTGTAATTTGTCAGAGTTTGCATGGTTATTAGAAATTATCTAGTTTAACTAGGATAAAAATTGCCATTAGGAGGTGCTCCTTTTCTAAAACATGATCTGTACTGCAATTCAGTTTAAGTTTTCATTCCCTTCCTTACCCCAAGACAGGAAAGTATTGTTCATTGTGCAGATAAGGAACCCATCTCAAAGTTTTGACTAGACATCTTAATCACACCAAATTTTTTTTCAATTTTAACATGACAGATTTTTGATAAAAAGAGGTAGATTCAAAATTCACTCCAGTGAATGATGGTGCATAAATTACCTGTGTATTTTGAAGAAATAAATTATGAAGCATCTGATATTGTCAAAAAATAAACTTTCGGAGTCACCGATCAGGAAATTAGTATAGAGAAAGTATCAAATTTGTCATTGCCTCAGTGTTCTGTCTGACATTGGGGTGATAGGTAGATACCCTTCATCCTGGAAATATATGGTAACTAAACATTCATATTTTCTCTCAGCTATCCACACTCACATCCCATGGGGTCTGAGAGGCCTTACTGTGATGATTTTTAAACGGCTGTCTTGTTTGCATTTTTAACAAGAGGATATTCATAGGAATATTTATATTGAGTAGATAGAATAACCACAGGGATATGCTTTAATAATAATAATAATAATAAATGGTAATTGCTCAAGAGATATGACAGGTGCAAGGGGTATATGTTAGAACACAGGATGCAATCCATTTCCCAGGGGACATTTCATACTGTGGAAAACTAAAAAACTTGTACCTAAGGGCAGAAATAACAAAAGAGGTTGTCACTGGCACCTTTCCTCTAAACCTTAACATGTATACACATATGGAAAGTGCAAAAGTCTCTGTCATCCCTCATCTACTCTAAAAGGAAGCCTCTGTCCTGGGAATAGTGTGTGCTGCGTTTACACCTGCCCTCCAATAGTTTACATAGCCTTATACTCCTCTTGTGAACTCTTGTTCTGAAGCACCTATAGATATGGAAGATTGGAATAGCACGATTGTGCTTTTAAATTTTTCACTTTTATTATCAGTGTTTACAAGGGAGTTAAGAAAATTGAATATTTTTTTTCTGCCTTGTGCACTATTCTATGAGGGGAAAGGACAGCTTCCTTTTGATTATATGCTAATTGAAAGGAGAGCACATTGGTTTGCTTAAAAACAAAAAATAAATAAAAATAAAACAATATGGTAGTGGCATATCTTCCCACAGGCCTCCTTTTTGGGTATTGCCAAAAGTGTCACACTTTAAAATGTTACAGTGGTTCCCAGGCTATGACAATAAACTACAAAAATGCCCTGTCCCAGAATAATTTGAAGTCTTTATTGCTGATACATTGAAAGATAGTATACAACTTACAGTCTGATTGTTTTCATTCTTTTTTAGTCTTTTTATTCTTTTTAAATCAGTGTCTCACTGTGTAGTACAAGCTACCCTGGAGCTCACTGTGTAGCATAGGTTAGCCTCAAATATATGATCCTCATGTATTGCCTTTTTAGGCTTATCAGACAGTGTTGGTTTGCCTACATATGAGTTAAAGTTTAAAAGGAACTAAAGCTCAAGACGGAGTCAGCACAAGAAGTTTGGGGTTATAATCTGAGGTTGTGAATATGACTGCATGGGTTTTTTGCTATCTAATTGAAGTAGCTTCTTTATTCCAAGTTGGGAGTTGTGGCAAGTTTCTTGCCATCAACTATCCTACTCTATGCATATAGGTTTTTTTCAGATTTCTAAACAAAATAGCATAGCCTGGTGTATGTTGGATACATGCAAGTCAGTGTTTTTTCAGTCTCTATGGATGTTATACGGGCCTTTCAATCCAAAATCAAAACATTGGAAAAGAGAAAACTGATACATACTTAAACAAGGGGAAAGGATTGTGAATGTAGCTCAATGTACTTGTCTAGCGAATACAAATCCCTGGGTTTGGTCCTTGGCTCTGAGAAAAATAAAAATCAATAAAAAGGGGAAGGGAATTACATTGAAAGTTAAATTATAAGCTTTTCTTTCTGTTTCTATGAAAAAAGTCTGTACTAATAAAACTGCCAATTTCTTTCAGGTGGGTGTGCATGGCATTAGAATAGAATTCATCAATGAAAAAGGATCAAAACGCACCGCCACCTACCTACCGGAGGTTGCAAAGGAGCAAGGTCATTGTACTTTATTTCATATGATCTAGTGAAGATTTTAAACAAGCTGCAATGCAGTAACTGACCTTGCAGTTATGTCTGATAAGTGATCATCACTAAATTATAATAACCAAATCTTACATCACTGCCACTGCAATGTCTGTCTCAAATTGGAGAATTACTCATATTGAATCTGTATCTTTGCAGTGATATTTGACAGCATACTCATAAATTCATACTTTTAAAATGGCACAGATTAATAAAAGTTGTGGTTTATTTTAGTTTATTACTACTTTGGAAGAAAAATTTTCCATGCACCAATGTACAGTAATTATCATGGTGGCATTAACAGGCCTTAGGTTTAGAGGCGGCCATGTCATTCATCTTATGTGATTGCCATTACTCATTCTGCCAATAGTGAAATTAAGTTTCTCATTAAGATTGGGAGCATTGTAAATACATGGAGTATTTTATGTTTACCCTACACTTCATAACCAAAAATAATTTTCTTGTTTCACAGATAAGTCATACATCTTTATGAACCAATATGGTAACATCAAACAACTTCACTATAGTTTTTAGTCCTTCCTAGCCACTACCAAATTCTAGTTTCACATTAGTTCAAACGAATGACTTTTTAAAAATTCTATGAAGCTTATCTTTTGAAAAAATATTTACTTTTACCATGTTTTTTCATATAAATGTGAGAGAAAATATTAATCTTTAAGGCAGTCACATGAAGATTTATTTAAACTACTTTATAAAATGTCTTCATACTACAGGATCATCGACCTCTTAAGGATAATAGAATAGCATTCATGTCAGAAATAATATAAAATGCCATTGAGTATTTCACATAAATATAGGTTATTGAGTATAGAAGATACCATTAAGACCAGCATTTACCATATGGAAGCCCCACATAGTAGTGAGTTGACACAATCATGTTTTATTTATTTAAGCTTTCCTTCCCCTTTGAATGTATGACCACTGGGGAAGTGTATAGTAGTTGTGACTTGTTACAGAGACATGACTGAATGGTTTCTTAGATAACTTAAGGCATGTGGTGATGAACCTGAGTCAGCACAAAAATAAAATCTTAGCTATTCTGTATGACAGTTTTTAGGACCAAAGGAGTTGATGACATTTGGTGACAATGATAGCTGATCTCTACAAAGTCTTTTTTTTTTTTTTTTTATTTAACCGGAGGCACGTTGTACCAAGCGCTTGACTGATATTTTATCTGATTGCCTCTCCACAGGATGGGACCATATTCAGACCATAGACTCCTTACTGAGAAAAGGAGGATACAAAGCTCCAATTACTAATGAATTCAGGAAAACCATAAAGCTGACCAGGTACTGTGATGGCATTTTGTAGCACAGGACTAATGAGTACACATCCAAGTGTATGTCTATAAATTTGATTTTTTTAGACTTTCAAGCTACACTTGGTTCTCTTGTCTAAACTAGTAGAAACAAGTGGCAGAGCCATACTGAGAGTGGATACATTGGAACTCTGCTTGGCATTAAATACTGCATGATATATGAGACCATCCTTTCCATCTTTAGCTCCATGTGGTTATTCTGGCTTTGTACAACCAACCCCATGAGACTTTAAACTACCTTATTGGAGAAAATACCAGAATTCACTAGCTTTTGACATCGCCTAACAGAACACCAGGATTCTGATAAGCAGTCCTAAAATTTAAATTAAACCTTACAATTTTGGCGGTGTTAGGAGTCTACTATGAAAACGTATTGAAAAACACAATTGAGCTGAACTTGAATGCTGAATAAATTTCATCATGGAGTAATAGGGATACTTACTTAAGAAGAATAGTATCAAACATTTTAAGAAAATTGGTTACTGTTTCCATTTATTTCAATTCCAGAAAATTGCATTACATGTTTGCAGCTAAAAATGGATTATTCTTAGCTCTGCAGAGTTACAAATTTGGGAATGTCCCCATGTCTGCTCTCCCCAAGTTTATAGTTTGAGGAGAATAGAAGGCATGAATGAAAATAATTACTACTACAAGGAAGAATATTATGGGTATGTAGGATCATAATGCTGGGGAAGAGGAACTCCAGGAAGTCAGCACGTAACAGAAGACTTCAAAGAGGAGATTGATTTAAGGCTAGGCTTGAAGAATGGGTAGACTATTTGACAGGTAGAAAATGAGGGAGGAAAGGGATTCCCTGAAGATGTACTGTAAATCAAAGCATGTAGGTAGTGAAGTACAAAGCCAATTTTAAGGAATAAGAAGCATTATGATTTAGCTGGTTTTTCAGTGCACATAAGAAATATCATTAAAGGAAAATGGGGTCCAGAAGGTAGTTTGAAACAGACCATGGAAGACTTGACATTCCAACCTAAGCAATTTGTTCCTGATTCTATAGGCATTTAATGTCCATTATAGGATTTTAAAAAATGTACTCCAGGCCAGGTATGGTGGTACAAGCCTTTAATCCCAGCATTCAGGAAACTGAGGCAGATGAAGCTCTATGATTTCAAGGCCAGCTTGGTCTACATAGTGAATTCCAGGACTATGTAGAGAGATCCTATCTTAAAAAAAAATCAACTTGACTCTCATCCCTAGCCTTAGACCACATGACCAAATTTATGAGCAATAAGAATAGTAAGAGAAAAAATAATAAAAGAAAAAAATAACTCAAAGAAAAGGAACAAAAAATGTTTTCAACAAAATCAGTGAAGAAAAATTTCCTGAACCTAAAGAAGGAGTTACCTAACAAGGTATAAGAATTATACAGAGAGACTCCAAGTTGATGCACACTGTTTCTGAAGAGCCGAGGATCCAAAACTTCAAAACTGGTGAGTGGATTGGCAGCTGAAGCCAGAGCATCGACTTTGAGGCTTCCCGGGCTAGAGGGGACAACCCGTGAGCTGGGGCAGATTGGATCCATGCCCCTGTGAATCTCTCTGGGGTCTGAGGGTGGCGAACTATTGACCCCCTGCACTTTCAGTTGCACCTTCACATGCTCAGGTGGCTTTCTAGCAGCTGCAACTGCAGAGAGTGCATGACCCCAGGTACTGGGACTCCTTACTCTAACAGCCAAACAGGGGACCCAAGTCTGAGAGTAGAAAACTTTGGACCTCTGAGCTTATTGCATACACCTGCAAGTGAGTGCACATGGACCCTCTGTGCGTACCACACATGCCTGCAAGTGAGTGCATCTGTGAGAGAATGCGTACAGAGCCTCCAGATCCTGGATCTCTCTACACTAGCCACCAGACATTGGATCCCACCCACCCACTGTGGGCAGCATAGGAATTCCCTGGGGCAGCCTTCTCAATATTGAAAGCCCTGTTGTGTGGGTTTCCCAGTGGAATCCAGCCAAACAATTCCTGAAAACAATTTCTGGAGCCAAGATGGTGCAGCTCAGGCAGATCTGAGCACTTGGAGCACTAGCTCACTGTGGAACACTGAGCCATTCAGAGCACCTGCACGTGCACATGCGCACTGCTCCCATGAACCACATCTGCACCACACAATGCACTAAAAGCTGCTCCCTAAAACTCTACCCTTCCAGGCAGGCACACTCCCATGCTCACTCCTGCCCTTGCACACTTGTGCCTGGAACCTGCCTCCCTTAGCTGCATACGAAACACCAACACCCACTCTCAAACTGGTGGACCTCTCTCATCTTGCTGAAGAATACTCCAGACTCCAGAGACAGACGGACCCAGTCTGCAGTACAGGTTCCAGGAACAAACAGTGAAGTCTACAGACCATCAGATGGTTAGAGGCCAGCATAAGAACACATCCAACAAAAATCAGAACATGATGGCTTCACCAACAACCCCAAAAATCAATTGCTATTTTAATCATGGCAAAATTATTTTAAATCTATGCTTATTCCTGTTATTAAAGGCACATAAAAAGGAAACAAGTAAATAGATGCCATCATGGAAAGACAGGAATCCACATTCAAACAGATGAAGGAAATAGTGCAGGACATGGGAACAGAATTAGAATCAATAAGGAAAACAAAAACAGAAAACCCTGGAGCTGGAGAACTTAGGGAAAAGATCAGGAACCACAAAGATAAGCATCACCAACAGAATACAAGAGATGGAAGAGAGAATATCAGAAACTGAAGATAAACTTGAAGAAATTGATACATCTCTCAAAGAAAAAGTAAAATCAGAAAAGTTATGAACACAAAACACCCAAGATATCAAAGACACCATGAAAAAAAAAAAAAGAATCTAAGAATAATAGGAATAGATGAAAAAGAAGATTCCAGGATCCAAGGTCCAGAAAATATTTTCAAGAAAATCATGGAAAAAAAATTTCTCAACTTAAAGAAAGAGATGCCCTTGAACATACAAGAGGCTTACAGAAAACCAAATTGACTACACAAGAAAAGAAACTCCACATGTCACATCATAGTCAAAACACTAAATTTACAGAGCAAAGAAAAAATATTAAGAGCAGCAAGGGAAAAAGGTCAAGTAACATAGAAAGGTAGACCTATCAGAATCATACCAGACTTCCCAACAGAGACTATGAAAGCCAGAAGGAACTGGGCAGACTCTAAGAGACCACAGATGCCAACACAGACTAATATACCCAGCAAAGCTTTGAATAAACATAGACGGAGGAAAGAAAATAGTCCCTGAAAAAAACTAAATTTAATATCTACACAGCAACCCAGCCCTACAGAAGATGCTAGAAGGAAAACTCCAATCTAATGAAATCAACTACACCCAAGAAAACACAGGATATAGATAACCTCACAACAAAAAAAAAATCAAAACAAGCACAAAAACACACTATTAACACCAACTCCATAATAAAAGGAACTCACATTCATTGGTCACTATTATCTGTCAAAATCAATAGATTCAACTCTCCAATAAAAAGACACAGACCGACAGAATGGTTGCAGAATCAGGATCCAAAATACTGCAACAGCCAAGGAACACACCTCTTATCCCAGAAGCAAAAAGACATACATGATATATACTCACTTATAAGTGGATATTAGACATACAATATAGGATAATCATACTAAAAACTGTATACCTCAAGAAGCTAAACAAGAATGAGGACCCTGGGTAAGAGGCTCATTCATCATTCAGAAAGACAAATGGGATAGACATCGGAAGAAGGAGAATCATTGAACAGGACAGGAGCCTATCATAGAGGGCCTCTGAAAGACTCTACCCAAAATGGTAATAAACCAGATGTTGAGATTCATAGCCAAACTTTGGACAGAGTGCAGGAAATCTTATGAAAGAAGGGGGAAATGAAAGACCTCCCCTATCAGTGGACTTGGGGAGGGGCATCATGCATGCAGAATGGGGGGGGAAGGTGGGACCAGGAGGGGAGAAGGGAGGGGCTTATGGGGGGATACAAAATGAATAAAGTGTAATTAATAAAAGTTAAATAAAAAATTTAAAAAAAAAGAAAGAAAGACCTGGAGGGTCAGGAGCACCACAAGGAGAGCAACAGAACCAAGAAATATGGGCCCAGGGGTCTTTTCTAAGACTGATACTGAAAAAAAGGACCCATTCATGAAGATAACCTAGAACCCCTGCACAGATGTAGCCCATGGCAGCTCAGTCTCCAAGTGAGTTCCCTAGTAAGGGGAACAGAGGCTGTCTCTGGCATGAACTTAGTGGCAGGCTCTTTGATCACCTCCCCCTGAGGTGGGGGCAGCCTTACCTGACCACAAAGGATGACAGTGCAGCCAGTACTGATGAGACCTGATAGGCTAGGGTCAGGTGGAAGGAGAGGAAGACCTCCCCTATCAGTGGACTGCAGGAGGAGCCTAGAAGGAAAAGAGTGAAAGAGAGTGGAATTGGCAGGGCATGAGGGAGGGGGCTAAAGGTGGGATGCAAAGTAAGTAAATTTAAAAATAAAAATTAAAAATTAAAAAAAAAACACCCTTAAAAAAAAAAAAGGAAAAACACTTCTGGACAAAGACAGACACTACCTCAGTGTAAAGGGCTGTAAAAATGTTTTTCAAGAAAACAGAGCCAGAAAACAAGCTGGAGTAGCTATCCTAATACATAATAAAATACACTTTCAATTGAAATTAATTAAAAAGATGAGGAGGGGAACTTCATTCTCATCAAAGTAAAAATCCAGCAGGAGGACAACACAATCCTGAACATCTATGCCTCAAATACAAGAGCACCAGCATTTGTAAATGAAACATTATTAAAGCTCAAACCACGCATCAATCCCAACACCTAAACCATGGGAGACTTCAACACTCTACTCCCACCAAGGGACAGATTATCTAGACAGAAACTAAATAAGGATATAATGACACAGTGGTCCTAAATCAAATGGACCTAGTAGATGTCTACAGAACTTTTCACC